TAAGAAGTCTCTGGGACAACTTCAAGCATACCAACATCAGAATTATGGGGGTGCCAGAAGAAGAGAGAGAGCAAGATATTGAAAACCTATTTGAAGAAATAATGACAAAAAACTTACCCTACCTGGTGAAAGAAATAGACTTACAAGTCCAGGAAGCACTGAGAGCCCCAAACAAGAAGAATCCAAAGAGGACCAACCAAGACACATCATACTTAAATTGCCAAGAGCAAAAGACAGAGAGAGAATCTTAAAAGCAGCAAGAGAAAAACAGTTACCTACAAGGGAGGGAGTAACCATATGACTGTCTGTTAAGGGGGTGGCCTGGAATGGAAGCTATGAGAGGAAAAAGAGGAACATCTGTAATAATCTGAACAATAATGATTAAAAACAAATACACAAACAAAAATGACTGAAAAACATATAAGGGAAGGGAAATAAAAGGGTTGTTTTTGTATGTAATCAAAGTTGAATTGTTATTAGCATAAAACATCATATGAGAACTACAGAGCAAAATTGTTTCTTGATTTGTTTTTTTATTCAATTTCTAGTCCGCCATCTGGATGGAAGCCCAGAGTGCTCTAAGACAGAGGTCCCTGGAAAAGTCTATGAGGTCCGAAAGGTTGGTGACTGCTGCTCTAAGAGATAAACAGAAAAGACAAACAGAAGGGAATAAAAATATATCATTATGGAAGACCATCAATTTGCATAGGAGAGCAGTAAGAAACAAAGTGGGGGAAAAAGAACTTCAAAACAACCAGAAAACATCAAATAGACAGCCTGAGAAAGTCCTTGCCTATCAATAATTAAGCTAAATGCACAGAATTCTCCAATCAAAAGCATAAAGTGGATGGATGGAAGGATAAAAAAAAAAAAAAAAATCAAGACCCAAATACATACAGGCAGACTTCAGCTTTAAGAACACATAGAGGCTCAAAGTGAAGAGATGTCAAAAAATATTCCATGAAAGTAGAAAGTAGAGATACCTATACTTATATATGACAAAATAGACTTTAAGCCAAAAACAGTCACAAGAGACAAAGATTATTCTATCCTAGTATAATAAATGGCTAATATGCAAATCGACCAAACTGCAGAATGACCAGTTGCTATGACGCGCACTGAGCACCAGGAGGCAGATGCTCAACACAGGAGCTGTCCACTGGTGGTCAGTGCGCTCCCACAAGGGGAGCACCGCTCAGCCAGAAGCCAGGCTCACTGCTGGCAAGTGCAGTGGTGGTGGCAGGAGCCTCTCCCGCCTCCATGGCAGCACTAAGGATGTCTGACTACTTGCTTAGGCCCATTCCCCACGGGAAGCAGGCCTAAGCCAGTAGCTGGACATCCCCTGAGAGTTCCAGGACTGTGAGAGGGCGCAGGCCGGGCTGAGGGACCCCTCTGAGTGCATGAATTTGTGCACTGGGCCTCTAGTCTGTACATAATGATCGGGGGGTGAAATGATCAAGAAGCTATAACAATCATAAATATATATGCACCAAACATCAGAGCACCTAAATATATTAAGCAAATACTAAAAGATGGGGTAAACAGAACTCAATATAATATTAGGGAACTTCAATACCCTGTTTTCAAAAATAGATTGTCCTCCTATATAATAAAGAGGTAATATGTAAAATGACCCTCATGCCCTCACAAGATGGCTGCCTACAACCAGGCTGGCAGGGGGTTGGTGAGGGATGACCAAACAACTAAATAAGAAGGCTACATGGGCTGACCAGGCTGGCAGGGTCGTTAGTGAGGGATGACAAATGACTGAACAACAGGCTGCAGGCAGGTGAGCGATTAGGAGCCAGTGGTCCAGGATTGTGAGAGGGATGTCCGTCTGCCGGTGTAGGCCAAATCCCTGTAATCGGGCCTAAACTGGCAACTGGACATCCCCCAAGGGGTTCCAGATTGGAGAGGGTGCAGGCTGGGCTGAGGGCACCCCTCCACTCCTATGCATGAATTTCATGCATCAGGCTCTAGTATAGCAATAAAATGAAGAAAATGTTGGGTTTGAACCACACATACTTCAGAGCAAATGGAACAGACAAATGCTGAGCATTCCATCCAACAGATGCAGAAGACACATAAAAAATTCTTCAGGACTAATCACATATTTTATAAAACAAGTTTTAGCAAATTTAAAGCTGAAATCATATTAGTATCTTTTCTGACCAGAATGGCAGTAACTAGAAATCAGTAACACAGAAAACTGAAAAATCGCAAAATGTGGAGATTAAACAAAATGCTACTGAACAACCAATGAGTCAAAGAAGAAATAAAACGGGTAATCAAGAAATACTTTGAAATTAACAAAAATGGAAGTACAACGTATTAAAACCAATTAAATACTACAAAAGCATTTCTAAGAAGGCTACAGCAATAAATCCCTATATTAAGGAACAAAAAAGATCTCAAATAATCAACCTCATTATACACCTCAGAGCACTAGAAAAAGATTAACTAAGCCCAAACATAGCAGAAGGAAACAATAAAGATCAGAGGAGAAATAAATGGAAAAGATCAATGAAATAAAGAGCTGGATTTTGAAAAGAAACAAAATTACCCAACATTTAGCTAAACTTACTTAAAAAAAAAAAAGAGGACTCAAATAAAAATCAGAACTAAAAAGATATTATAAATTGATATCACAGAATACAAAGGATCATGAGAAGCTAGTATGAACAATTATATGCCAACAAACAAAACAATCTAGAAGAAATGGATGAATTCGTAGTAATATACAACTATGACTGAATCATGAAGAAATATAAAATATAGTTATATATATAGAAAATATTAACAGACTGCTATGAAGATTAAATCAGTAATTAAAAACCTCCCAAAATAGAAAATGCCAGAACCAGATGGTTTTACTAGTGAATACTACCAAATATTGAAAGAAGAATCCATGCCAATCCTTCTCAAACCAATCTCTTCCAAAAAGTAACAGAGGAGGAAACCTGCTTAAATTCATTTTATAAAGCCAGCATTATGCACATAACAAAGTCAGATGATAATGAATGGAAAGTATAGATGTAAAAATTCTCAGCAAAATATTAGCAAGCCAAATTCAACAGCACATTAAGAGAAGCACTCACCATGACCAAATAGGATTTGTTCCTGGGATGCAAAACTGTTTCAACATATGTAAATCAATGAATGTGATATACCACATTAACACAAGGAAACATAAAAATCATGACTTTCTCAGTAGTTGCAAAAAAAAATTTTTTTTTTTTACAAATGCAACATGATAAACAGAATACAGAAAAATATATCCAACTTCAATAAAAACCATATATAATAAATCCACAGCCAACATTATACTCAGTTATATACTAGTAAGGTTGAAAGCTTTTTCTCTAAGATCAAGGACAAGAGTAGGGTTAACACTTTCACCACTTCTGTTCAACAGATTACTGGAAATTCTAGCCACAGCACTCAGGTAAGGGGAAAAAAAAGGCATCCTAACAGAAAAGGAATAAGTACAATAATCTCTGTGAACAGATGATATAATCTTATATATAGGAAATCTAAAAAACTAATCAGATTTAATAAAGTTGCAGGATATAAAATCAAATATACAGAAAACAGTTGTTATCTATATTAAATTCAATTGTGTTTCTATACTGAATAAAATTCAATAAATTAACATTTAATAATAAAAAAAATCTGAAAATAAAATGGACAGAGATGCCCAACTCATGTAACTCAATAGTTGAAGCCTTCACCCATGCATCAGGAAGTCTTGGTTTGGTTCCCCCTCAGGGCACATGCCTGAGTTTTGGGTTCTATCTCCAGTAGAGGGTGTGCAGGAGGCAGCCAATTGATGATTCTCTCTCATCATAGATTTTCCATTTTTCTCCCTCTCCCTTCCTTTCTTTAAAAATCAATAAAAACATCTTTTTTACAAAAGGGCAGAGAAATGGAATAGACAGGTTCTGTGGAAGACATACAAATGACCAAGAAGTACATGAAAAGATGAGCAACATCATTAATCACCAAGTAGATAAAAATCAAACCCATAATGAGACATCACTCACACCTGTTAGAATGACTATCATCCAAAAGAAGAGAAATAATAAGTATTGGTGAGGATGTGAAGAAAAGGGAACTCTGCTAAACTGTTGGTGGGAATGCCAACTATTAAAGCGTCCATGGAAAACAGTATGGAGGCTCCTCAAAATATTTTGTAAATATAACATAATTTAGAAGGGAAATTTATTTTGTGTATTTCAACATCACTTGAATTGTAGTCAGAGAACAAAGTCAAGTATTCTTTAATAAAATATTTCAAGACTTTCTTTTTATTCTCAATATTCTGCAGTTACCCTGCACTATTAATAGCTATGTCATTATTTTCACTTATCTTGTTCATAGCAGCACAATTTACAATAGCTGGAACTAAGGTCTGGAAATAGCCCAAGTGCCCATCAGTAGATGAATGGATAAGAAAGCTGTGGTACATTTATACTATGGGATAATATGCAGCAGTTAAAATAAAAAAAAGAGTCTCTTACCCTTTGAGACAGCGTGGAGGGACCTGGAGAGTATCATGCTAAGTGAAATAGTCAGTCAGAGAAAGACAAGTATGACATGATTGCACTCTTATGTGTAATATAAGTAACAAAATAAACTGATGAACAGAGTGAATCCAGAGACACAGAAGCATGGAGCAGAGTGCGGAATCTCAGAGGGAAGGCGGAGAAGAGTGGATGGATGGGAGATAATCAACCAAAGACCTGTGTGCATATATGCAGAACCATTGGACACAGACAACAGGGTGCTGAAGGCCTGGGACAGGGAGCGGGGGCAGACTGGAGGGGGAAAATGGGAATATGTAATACTTTCAACAATAAATAATTTTATAGAAAATTAGAATTATAAATTTTAAAAAAGAGTATATAAAATGTCAATCTACATACTAACAGGTTGCACATAAATTATTGACTATTACTTTATATTGACTTATAAATAAAATAAAAATACTTAGAATTTACCTGCATTGCACTTTTCCCCAGTTTCACCACTTCAAATAATGTGACAGGCTCCCCTTCACCATTCTGTTGAGGGTGCCCATTAGCTCTTCCACGGCCTGTTCCTCTAATACCAGCTTCAATCCTACTCTTCTCTCCTGGAGATTTTCGAGGTTTCTTATTTGTAGACTGAATTAAAAAAATGAAAAAGAAAAAAAATAAATAAATGCAGGCATACTTTGCTTTAGGCAGCATGATCTCAAATTATGAGTGTAATCCTGTGAAAGGTAGTTAGCACTATCTTTACTAAAGGAAGGAAACAATCTAACCAAAGGAAGATTTACAATTTTTTTTTCAGTGATAAAAATACACCAACAGCAAAGCATAAGTTAATTTATATCAGGCATGAAAATAAAGTTAAAGAAAAAGGATTTAGTATTTTGTACAATAATAATGTCAAGGTTAAACATTTTAATCATGTCCCCCTGTTGACATATTTTCTTTGTACACTAAATACTCTCCTTCTTCAGAAACTTTGCTCAATAAAACTACTTGGAAATACTGTATATTTGACTTCTACTTAAGTGCAAAAGTATTTCCTAGCCAGTTATACAATAACGATACATTTGAACATATTTGGAACCACTCTAGATACTGGAAATATGGAAATAAGCAAAGTAAATATTCCTGCCTTGATGGAGTTTACATTCTTCAATTAACATCCATCTCATGCCGCAAGTTTTTAAATTTTTAAAACTGATTTAGAGAGAGGAAAATCAAAGAGTGGGGAAGGGGAAGAGAGGAAGAGACACGAAAAGATGAAAACATTGATCTGTTGCCCCTTCCATCCATGCATTCATTATCTGGTTGTTTCCTGTGTGCTATGACAGGTGATCAAACCTGCAGCCTTGGCATTTCATTGATTCTTTAAAAAATAAATAAATAAATAAATAAATTATATATATATATATATATATATATATATATATATAAAATTAATTTTTTACAGAGAGAAAGAGAGAGGAATAGAGAGTTAGAAACATCGATGAAGAGAGAAACACTGATCAGCTGCCTCCTGCACACTCCCTACTGGGCATGTGCCTGCAACCAAGGTACATGCCCTTGACCAGAATTGAATCTGGGACCCTTGAGTAAACAGGCCAACACTCTATAAACTGAGCCAAACTGGTCAGGGCATCATTGATTCCTGTATGTGCTCTGCATCTTGGAGGACAATCAAACCAACGGAGCTACCTGGCTAGGGCTCATCCACCAGTTAAAAAAAAAAAAAATCAACACTAACTACCACCTTACCTATGTCTCACCTTTAGAGTGAAGGGTAATTTAATAGAATTTCTTCCAGTTGCTGTTATTATTTCCATAAATTTAATTTATATATAAACTCATCATGGTTGCATCTTTGCCAAACTCACCCATAAAATTAATGTTAATTGTAATAAATATTTCTTGAAATTCTCAACAGGCCTCATGATATCTTCCTTTCATTTCAGATACTTTATCCCTCCCTATATTTCTTACTGTTTAGTGTTACCTTAGGTCTCTGTTGAGCAAACAAGTCAAATTTGTGGCCCACAACGAATATTTTTGCAGCCCAGCGTACATAACGATATGTTAGAAACATTTTAATAAAAATTTCATAACTAAATTTTTATAATATCCTGTTATACGTAATTATTAGTAACAACATTGGCTAATGACTGATTACCGTAATAGTGTTGCATTCATTTCCCTTATGTGCCTTATGCACAAGTGCACCATTTCTCTCTAATAGTAGCAACAAATATTTTAGCAGCCAATTGCCACGTCTTTAGTCTTGGACTGACTTGTTTGGTATATGCAACACATATATTTCGCTTTCAATGAACAAGAAAAATAGGTTTATTTGCGTTACGCTTGTTAATTTGTGCAGTTATTCAATGTCTAGTAAGTTAATGTTCAAGAAAAAATTAATTTTTATTAAAATGTTATTTTGTTAATGATTATTCATTTATTTCAGCCCTTTGTATTCAGCATGTCTGTATCGAAATAAACCTATGTTTCTATGAAAATTGAAGCTTAGTTTTTTTTGTGGCCCACATAAACTAAAACTGTTTAGTTGGCCCATGGTAGCCTTTGAGTTTGACATGCTTGCTCTTGAGCATCTGTTCTTCTCAATATTTATATTCTCTTTTGAGCGACTTATTGTCATATTAATGTTCAGTTATTAATTTGCTAGAGGCCCGGTGCGTGGATTTGTGCACATTGAAAGGAAATTATTTAAAAGGTGGCTAGTGGGACGGAACTGGGCGAGATGGGCTGGACATACACTGGAGCCAACATTCCACAGTCCCACCCAGGCTGGCCACACCTGGGGCAGTGCCAGGGCTTGAAGGGCATCTGGGGAGTAAGCAGGGTCCCTCTGGTAGGTGAGGTCCTTGGCCTGGCCTAAGTGTAAGAAGCCTATGTGACAACTTCAAGCATACCAACATTAGAATTATGGAGGTGCCAGGAAAGAGAGCAAGATACTGGAAACCTATTTGAAGAAATAATGACTGAAAACTTCCCCCACCTGGTGAAAGAAATAGACTTACAAGTCCAGAAAGTGCACAGAACCCCAAACAAAAGGAATCCAAAGAGGAACACACCGAGACACATCATACTTAAACTGCCAAGAGCAAAAGACAGAGAGAGAATATTAAAAGCAGCAAGAGAAAAACAGTTACCTACAAGGGAGCACCCATTCAATTGTCAGCTGATTTTTCAACAGAAACTATGCAGGCCAGACATGAGTGACAAGAAATATTCAAAGTGATGAATAGCAAGAACCTACAACCAAGATTACTTTACCCAGCCAAGTTACCATTCAGAATTAAAGGTCAGCTAAAGCACTTCATGGATAAGAAAAAGCTAAAGGAGTTCATCACCACCAAACCAGTGTTATATGAAATGCTGAAAGATATTCTTTAAGAAGAGGAAGAAGAAAAAGTAAAGATAAAAATTATGAACAACAAATACATATCTATCAACAAGTGAATCTAAAAATCAAGTGAATTAAAAACCTGATGAACAGAATAAACTGGTGAATATAATAGAATCAGGTGCATAGAAAGGGAGGGGACTGATAATTCTCAGGGAGGAAAGAGGATGGGGGTGCAGGAAAAGACTAGTCAAAAATCGTATACCTATGTATGAGAACAGTGGGGTGGAGGTAAGGGTAGAGGGTGAGGTGGAACCAGGTGGAGGGGAGCTATGGGTGTGGGGGGCAAAAGGAGGGATAATTGTAATAATCTGAACAATAAAGATTTATTAAATTTAAAAAAAGAAATGCTAAACATAATTTAGGAAACAAAACAAAGCTAACATGAAAAAGAAGAGAGCATACAAGTCCAACTGATAAATGCATTTCCAAAAGTGACCATGAAATTTAAGCTACAAAAATCGTTTCTTAGAAAAATAAAAATAAAAATTGGCCAAGAAGATAATAGGCCAATTCAGAAAAGAAATACAAATGATCAATATTTCAGAACATAATGATGAAATTTTATACCACTTAGAAATTAGTCAAGATTTAACACTATTAATCAAAGGTATGATAAGCAATGCCACATACTTTGTTGTTTGAAAGGCAAACCAACAAGACACATTAAAAGTTTTCAAACATATGGCATACCTTTTACTACACAATCCACTTTTAGAAATGTAAGATTAAAAAATATTAATGGCTCTAAAAAAAATTTATTTGCAAGCTAGTGTATGCCAGCACAGCTTAGATTAGTAAAGAAATTTTAATATGAGTGATGACTAGGGGATTAATTTGATACAGAATACTATATACTTACTAAAAATATGTAAAATATTTAAATATCATAAAATTCACAGTATTCTAAATATAAGATCTAAATAATTTGTAATATCCACATTTTATAAATTCACCTGCTAATCTATCCTCCTTCTGATACTCATTGTTAATATTTTATTGTGCACTCTCCATTTCCTTTCTAAATGTATGAATATAAAGGCATGAAAATAAATATTAAAGAAAATACAACAAATCTAAGATGAAAACGAAGAAGGCATACTTCTACTTATTTATCTCTCTTATTGAGTTTAGACAAATAAAATCTTTACTAATAAAAGGGTAATATGAAAATTGGTAACAATGCCCCACAGTAACGACTGAACAGCAGGCTATGTGGGGTGACCAGGCAGCACGTATGACAGTTAGTGGCAGAGGGGGGCAGTGAGGATTGACAAGGCCAGTGTGTGTGTGGAAGAGGGGTTAGGGGCAATCAGGTTGCCGGGGGAAGGGAGGCAGAAGCGGTTAGGGGTGATCAGGCAGGCAGGCAGGTGAGCAGTTAGGAGCCAGTGGTCCCGATTGTGAGAGGGATCCCGAATTGGAGAGGGTACAGCCTGGGCTAAGGGAACACCCCAACCCTGTGCAAGAATTTTGTGCACCAGGCCTCTAGTAGTTAAATAATGTTGAAAATAGAAGTGCTAGTTCTCACTTAAATAGAAAAAGAGTAAAATATCCTTAATAAAATATTAAACCTGGTACTAAAGATAGGTTAAGCTATAGAACTAGTGATTTATATGACAACTATAAATGAAATCCTGTACTGAACCCTGAATATTTTTTTTTCCTTTTTCCTTAGGGCATTACCTGAATAAATGGCAAAATCTGAATGAAGTGTATAGATATGGTTAGTATTACATAAAAATTTTTTCCTGGTTTTCAAAATTGTTCTACAGCTGAGTATAAGAATGTCCTTGATTTCAGGGAAATTCATACTAAAGCATTAGGAGGAAAGTGGCATCATTTCTGCAACTTATCCTCAAACAGTTAAAAAATAAATAAGCATATAATATATATTTATATATGATGCTACTATACATAATATATATGTATAAGTGTTTATATACATAGAGAGAAAATAGAAAACAAATCTAGTAAAATGCTAACAGTTAGACAATCTGCATTCTTGTAACTCTTCTGTGTCTGATATTATTTCAAAATAAAAAGAATTAAAAAAAAAAAAAGAGTGGTAATTTAACAAAATTAAACACCATCCATTCAATAAGCATGTACTGAAAAGTCAGACAGAGCTAAAAAAAAAAAAAAAAAAAAAGATACAGCTTAACTTCTAAAGGGAGAGGGACAGTAAATAAAATGTATGGCAATAGTGCTCTAAAGAAAGGAGAAAACACACACACACACACACACACACACACACACACACACACACGGAAGGGAATTGTAAATCCCCTTGAGTAGGCGTGAGGATTTGCTATTTTAAATCTTTAGGGGATGAAACAGAGGGTCCTAAAACAAGGAGCAGGACTGAAAAGATTGATCAAAAGCATATGATGGTGGGTTAGTCTAGTTTTATAGAAAAAAAATAATTTATGTTTCTTTTCAAATCAATTGGATAGGATTTGCTGATAGACTGGATAGAGGCTGAGAAAAACTGAGTCAAAGATGACTGTAAGATTTATAGCCTGAGCAGCCAGAGAGATGAAGTTGCCATATGGAAGAGAGGTGGGCAGGGGAATTTCGTTTTTAAAACATCTTTGGCCCATTAACTATTTAAATGAAGATATTCACCAAACATTTGGTTATATGTCTGGAGTCCAGACCGGAGACATAAATCTAAGGGACATAAGCTTAGATGTGTTATTTTAAATTATGAGATTGGATGCAATCATCAAAATAATGTGTGCAGACAGAGAAAATGATGTCCATTATTTGCTAATGCAATCATAGTTAGTATAAACATGATACTATATATAGTGTTTACTTAGAAATCAGTAATTACTTGGGTAGAGAGTTATAACAAATATGAATTAGGGGCCCCTGATTGGAGAGGGTGAAGGCTGGGCTAAAGGACCACTTCTCCCCCTCCCCCAACCCCTGTGCAAAAATTTCGTGCACCAGGCCACTAGTTAGCTTCATAAAGTAACATAAAAATTACCATCTCAGTGCCAAGTCCAGAGTACAAACTCAGAAAGTGTTGTTTGTTTCCAAGATAAAGACCTAGGCCTGGGTCAGGTGGAAGTGTAGGTATATAGCCTTGTGAGTTAACAAGTATAAAAATATGGACTGAAGTCTAACTAACACAAGTCTCTAGAATGTTACTATCTTACCTGGTCAACATTTTTTTTCAATTTTTATAAACATGAGATGAATATGTACTATTTACCGACTAAAAATTCAATTAAGAAATCATGTAGGTGAGTTCATTCTCCTACCTTCAAGTTTAATTTCCAATTTTGCTTATATATCCATGAGTCCCAGAAAAAGCAATGTAATTTGCTTAGTTTCAGGAAAAAAAATCATACAAAGGGGAGCTAGAATTGTCTCCAGCTTCTCAGTACAAGACTCTTTCACTTTTCTCAAAACCTTTTTTTAAAAACTGTTGTACCATGAAATACTTCTACAAAATTAAGAAGAATTATGAAGAGTGATTACAATGCATATCTTTTCCTTCATATTTTCTCCCTTTAAATAAAAGTGGAGGATAAAAGTAAGTATAGAGAAAAACGGTAGAAGTCATCCTGGAAAAGTAAAGGGTATGAAGTTTCACTGAAGTTAATTAAAAACTGAGGCAAACAAGTTAATACTGATGAAACAGCAAACACATAAAAAAATACTAAGTCACTACAAAGAAGATATTTATCTATATATATAAAAAGACAGCGACCAGAACATCGGAAAAACCAGAATAATTGGTCACTATGACGCCCAGTGTGGCCAGCAAACTGGCCCAGTCTAGGGCTGGGGTTGGCTGGCCAACCTCCTGCAGCTCCTCCGCACAGCCAGCCCCACCTTGATCAGCCTCTCCCACCCCTATTGAAGGTGGGGTGGCTGGCAAACCTCCAGCAGCCCCTCCACCAAGCCACTCTGCCCAAGATGGGCCCCCACCAGCCCAATCAGTCCGCAGCCCCTCCGCCTCGCCAACCTCACACCTGATTACCCCCACCTACCCCAATAGGAGGCGGGGTTGGCCAGTCAACCTCCTGTAGCCCCTCTCCCACTCAGCCCCACCCTGATGGGTCCTTATCACCCCCAATCGGCCAATAGCCCTTCCCCCAGTCATTTCCGCCCTCCAGCCATCTCCATCCCCTACTGATTAAGGGCAAGGTCAGCCAGCCAACCACCCATGACCCCTGCCCCAAGTTGCTGGCCCCTGATTGGCACCTTCACCCCATTTGGAGGCGGGGCCAGCCAGCCCCTTCCCATGGCTGGCCCCACTTAACATCAACCTCCACCACCCTGATCTGCCCACAGCACCTCCCAGCAGTCAAGTTAGCTCCACCCCCAAAAGCACCACACACACCAATTGGAGGTGTGGTTGGCTGGTCAACTTCCCCCACCCCCTCTCCCGCCTCTGACCCCTGATTGTTTATCCCACCACCCGCCAGCCCACCCTTGACCAGGCCCCAGTTGGGGCTGGCTGGACCTCACCTGTGCACAAATTTGTGCGTTGGGCCTCGTGTGTGTGTGTGTGTGTGTGTGTGTGTGTGTGCACGCGCGTGCACGCGTCAGAATACATAAATAACTGGTTAAATAACATCATCAATTATAACAGACAGATCCTGTGTGTCATAATTCAAACCAACAAACAATATTCTAAAAGTGATAATAGCTATGAAATGATTATAAACTTTAAGTTGGTTACTGGGTGATATTAATAAAATATTGCTACCATGGGACATGATAATGATATTAGAGTGATGTTAAAAAAAAAAAAAAAACACAATAGAGAAAGTAAAGCCTTTTTAAAAATACATTTTTTATAGATTTCAGAGAGGGAGATAAATGGAAACATCAATTATGAGGGAGAATCACTGATCAACTGCCTTTTGCAGGCCCCGTACTGAGGACTAAGCACACAACCTGGTTATGTGCCCTTGATCGGAATCAAACTTGAGATCTTTTAGTCCCGCAGGCCAACACTCTATCCACTGAACCAAAACGGTTAGGGTGTAAAGCCTTATCTTTTAGTACCACATTCTGAAATATTTACAGATGAAATGTTGTCTAAGATGACCTTCAAAATAACATTGATAACTGCTATAGCTGGGCAATGGTTACATGAAGGGTTCATTATACTATTATGCATCCTAAAAAAGAGGCTGAAATATTCTATAATAAAAACTTTCATAAAACGGGTAAAATTGCTAATGGCAAATATCATAAAAGTAGTGTAAATAATACAAGCTTTAATTACTTGACACATTCATATTATTGTCTCTAAAAGCTTACACTGCCTTAAATTAAATGACTCACGTACTCAGAATACATAAAGATAACCCTCAAAGTAAGAATGCTTAGAGCTCTTTTAAACTTATCGATCATGTATGAATGAGAATATATTCTAAGACTGGCCCCAAATCCTAAACTAATACTACCAAACTACAAGAAATCACAAGAAATCAGAGGTACATTTAAAAAGCAGGGAAGTCATTACTAACTACACCTCAGTTAATCATCTCTGTCTTCACATGGACTACCATTTACTTGCAAGAGAAACAGGGAGAGCAAGATACTATAACCATTATCCTTTTTTTGATTACTACCTAAGACAATTTATGAAGTAAAGTTTCCAAGAATCTTTATTAGTCACAGTACTAGAATTAACAAACAGCTCTTATCCAGCCCTTTTATTTGATCATCACTTTTTGAAACAAAGAAAAGAAACATAATACATACTGGAGGCCGGCCAGGACGACCCCTTTTCCTTTTCCCCTTGACTTCAGTTTCTTCAAGTTCGCTGCCAGCATCAGAATTAGCAGTAGTTTCATTAGTTGAATCCCTATAAAATGTGTTATATACTTTTAGTGAACAATTTAATTCATAAATACAATGCAGTATTATTCCACTATTTTCCTTACCTATTATATGGATGCTTAGAAGTAGTTTATACTTCTACTTTAGCAAATCAAAATGTAATCCTCTCTAATATCACATAACATTGAGTGAAATGAAGCTCTCAAATAGAAAAATAAAAAGAAAGAAATGACTATGGAAATGGCAGCTGCTATACAAAATATAAATGTAAAATACAACTGAAAAAGACAATTCTTCAATATGAAAAGAAAGGTTTGGGAAGCAATTTACTCATTTTATAAATCATGAAAATCAGTGGTGGGCTGATAAATGTTTAACAACTGGCTCTTAAAATATATATATATATATATGCACATAAACTTAGAAACGTTAACATTATAAAGGTAAATTCCATTCACATAAAATGATTGATAATTTGGCCAACTCCTGTATTCATAACTAACCTAAGTTTGCAAGTGAAGAACAAACAGGGGTTTTTAACATGAAAGATGGTTTACAGCTTTGTTCACTTGAATGAAAAGAATGCAAGTGAAATTAAAAAGACATTTGTTGGAACTTAAGTCAGTGTTCAGTGGTGTAAGCAACTTCTTCAGTGAATTGGATTACAAATCTCAAATACGGAACTGCTTCAATTTTTTGTGCTTTCATAATGTAATAGCTAGAGACTTGATACAAGTTTAATCTCCATTATTAATATCTCTATCATTTTACTGAATCTATAAACAATTTATAAAACAATAAATTGAGCCCTAATTTACAATATTTTCTGATTTTCATAATTAAGTATTTCCACCACAGCCAATTTCAAACTACAAAATTGTCATCACCAGAATTGGGAAGTAATGAACAGTAATACTGGTAGTATACCAGTAAAAAGTATTTCCATCATAATATTGTAAATAAAGAATAGTTGTAAATAAAAACTAAAGAGCAGAAAATAGTATGTAATTAAGGAGTGGTGAATTTTGACTACTATTACTTTTACTTAAAATATTATTTAATTTTAAATTTGTATGACTTAACTTTTTTAAATGGCTATGTTATATTTAATCAGGGTCAGAAAATTCCTAGAAATTTAATATTCAGCCCTCCAGGCTATTATAAATTTGCTCCAGGATGGCTCTGAAAAGGTATGAATAATCTGAACAAAAACTTCATTAAATTCTACATCAGTAGCTATATATTATCAATAGTCTTGACCATCTGTAGTTCAAAAATTTTAACTGCATGTGTAACATGTTTTGAATTCTACCTCAAGTGCACCAAATACCACATGAAAAACTATGTCCATACTGATTTTTTCTAGCTCTCTGCTCATGGCCATACCACTAATTAACTAATTTAGTAAATTAATGCATGCATGTGCTTTAAGTTATTATAAAATTTATTAGTCACCATCCTACTATCCTGTCTTACTCAAATTATTAGAATCACATCTTCCTCGAGCCCATCAGCTAACAAATTTTCCTGAGTTGTCCTAAATATAAAAATTCTCTCTCTTATTCTTTCCATGATTACCTATAATCACCACTCCCTGAATTAATCTCATCTCCCTGCTTCTCCTAATTCCATTGTCCAAGCCATTCTGTACAGTGCTACTAGTAACATTCTTATAGCATGTTACTTCCCTACTTGCAAATCTTCAAAGATAATCTAGTACCTAAAACTATAAATAATATTAATCTAATTCAGTGGTCACCAAACATTTTCTTAAAAAACTATACTGTAAATATTTTAGTCTTAGGGAAGGGGGGGGGGTTTCCACTACTCAACTCTGGCACCATAGCATGAACATGGCCAAGGACAATACATAAATGAATAGATGTGGCTATTCTACCCTAATAAAAGAATAATATGCAAATTAACCAGCACTCCGCTACATCCATCAACCACTCAAAGCGAGTATGCAAATGAACCCAACCAAGATGGCTACATCCACAGAAAGGAGGAAGCCAAGCTTTCTGCCTGCCCTTGCTGGCCTAAGTCTCCACTCAAGGCTACAAAGTTTCAACTATAGAAGGTAAACAAATCCAAACAGAAATGGCAGCAGCCATAAAGCTGGAAAGAGCAGGAAACTAGGGTTGCCTCTGGCAATAGAAGAAACAAAGATTTCTGCACACCCTGACCGGCCCAGGCCTCTACTCAGGATACAAAGTTTCAATTATAGAAGATACATAAATTCCAACAGAAATGGCTGTCGGACACTGAGCGAGCAGGAGGCTTGGCTCTGCTCCAGGCTACAAAGTTTCAATTGTAGAAAATAAATAAATTCCAGATACCAGGGCCTCTACTTGGGTCACCCAGGGGGCGTGGTTGGCCTGCAAACCACCACAGGTCTCTCGGCCAGACCACCCCACGCCACAAGGGAATCCCACCCTGATCCAGGACACCCTTCAGGGCAAACCAGCTGGCCCCCTCCTGTGAGGCCTCTATCTAATAAAAGAGTAATATGCAGACTGACCATTCTCCAACACACAATATGGCTGCCCCCATGTGGTCAAAGATCCTGCCCCTATGTGGACACAAGATGGCCAACACAAGATGGCCAGCAGGGGAGGCCAGTTGGGAGGCACCAGGCCTGCAAGGAAGGTGCAGTTGGAGGTGATCAACCCTGCAGGGGAGGGCAGTTAGGGGTGACCAGGCCGGCAGAGGTGGAAAGTTGGGGGCAAACAGGCTGGCATGGGAGTGGTTAGGAGGTGATCAGGCAGAAGCAATTAGGGGCAATCAGGAAGGCAGGCAGGCGAGCAGTTGTGAACCAGCAGTCCTGGATTGTGAGAGGGATGTCAGATTGGAGAGGGTGCAGGCTGGGCTGAGGGACACCCGCCTACCCCCGTGCACGAATTTCATGCACTGGGCCTCTACTTGTCCAATAATACTTAAAAAGAGGCATCTGTGTCACTAGCAGTAGTTTGTCAGTTCCTGATCTAATTGATCTTCCTCATCTCTACTACAGAACAATAAATCATACCACATTTTCTCTTCACTACAGATCAAATAGACTATACTCAGCATATACTGTGTGCCAAGTTTATATAAAACATGCACATAAACTTTGTAAAAAACAAAACAAAACTATTTTTCCAATTCTAGATGAGGAAACAAAAGATATAAAAACCTTTTATCTTGTCTATAGACACATACCTAATTAAGTGGCAGAGTCCACTTAGTTATCAAGGTAAACTTCAACTTTCTATCTCCATGTCAGGATACTAGAATCCAAATATTATGTTTTGTATTTCTCTTGTGTAAACAGAACCCACTTTTGATGCTTATATAAATCTCCTGGCAACTACAGGATCTAGTTAGTTCCAGGTTATAATATGTGACACATTAGTAAAACTAATTTATCCTTGAACAAGAGTTTACTGACAAAAGAGAAAAATACAATGTTTTCTAATTCTGCCAATTATATCCAGCTTTAAAGGTGAATGTTATTACCAAAAAATACTAAGCTAATACACTTCAACTAGTATATGTAGGAATGTTTATGAGAATATATAATACATAAATTTTTTAAAAAAAATATATTTGATTTTTTTACAGAGAGGAAGAGAGAGGGACAGAGAGTTAGAAACATCGATGAGAGAGAATCATCTATCAGCTGCCTCCTGCACACCCCCTCCTACTGGGGATGTGCCCGCAACCATAGTACATGACCTTGACCAGAACTGAACCTGGGACCTTTCAGTCCGCAGGCCGACACTCTATTCACTGAGCCAAACCAGTTTTGGCTATACTGCATAAATTTTTTTATGTCAAATAATAGAGAAGATAAAAAAATATGAACAGTTTCACTTCACCACAACTCTGAATCCCAACATGCAGAATAACAATAGTTTGATCAATACTTTTCCATAAATGTTTGTTTTTATATATAAAAATATTTTTTTAAAAACTATATTTCAATTTTTAAAATTATAAATAGGAATTTCCGTACAAATATGCAGGATTTCTGAATAGTAACTCCATAATATATATGAAATTTATTTTAATTACTTCACTATCAAAAGCACTCGGATTGTGTCTAGTTTTTGTACTATTAAAATAGAGCTGAAACAACTTTCCTTGTACATTAACTCTTACTATATACCAGTAAATATCTCTCTATGATAGACACAATAGAATGCTGGATATGAAGAATATGTTAATTCAAAGTTCAATCAAATGCTCTAAACAAACCCTGTAAATACCTAATTTTCATATTTATAAGACTATTGAACATTAAGAGAATGGAAAAATCTGATCAATCATTATCAAAACTAGAGGATCGGTGCACAGTGGGATCCCTTGACCTGGATTGTGGGGATTGGGCCAAAACCGACTCTCAGACATCCCCTGAGTGGTCCTGGATTTCGAGAGAGCACAGGCCAAGCTGAGGGACCTCACTGGTGTAAGATTGGGGTAGGGGAGGGGCTGCAGGAAGGCTCCAGAGCATGTCCAGCCCATCTCACCCTGTCCCAATAGGTCAGAACTCAGACGCAAACTAACATACCTGGTGGTCAGTGCTCGTCTCAGTGACTGTTCAAATGGTTGAATGAACAGTTAAACACTTAGCATATTAGGTTTTTATGTTATAGGACAAGAGGCCTAGTGCACAAAATTCGGCAGCCGGGCATCCCTCTTGCAATTCAGGATCGCTGGCTCCTAACTGTTCACCTGCCCGCCTGCCTGATTGCCCCTAACCACCTCTGTCTCGGCCTTTGCCACCGTGGCTTTATCTGGAAGGACCATATAGTTTTATTAGTATAGATGATTTTTTTTAATTTTTTTTTTTACTCCTTTAACTCTTTAAAATTCCATCTACCTCTCTCTAGTTCCACTGTAAACACTTTAGTTCAAGTTGTCACCATCTCTGGTCTGGATACTGCAACATCCTCCTCCTATTAGGTCTTCTTTCTTCTATTGTCGCTCCTTCCAATTTGATCACTATACTGCACTAAGAATAATTTTCTAATATATCTTATTAGATCTCTTACATGCTTAAAAACTCTACAGTGGTTTCCTACTATTCATAGGAAGAAAGATTCCAAATTTTAATATGATTTAGCAGATTCTTGTATGATATAGCCAAACTCTCATCACAAGCCTTATCTCATGTCACTGTTCCCAAACTGGGGAGAGGGGGTGGGAAGGAAACAAACAAAAACCAGATTTATTTCAGTCCCTCAAATACACCATAACTCCTCCTTTTTCAGCGTCTTTGCACATGCCATTCCTTCAGTCTGGAATTTATATACTGATCCCTTCTTTCTCCAAACCCTCACTTCACTTGCTATCACCTGAACTATCTCACCCTTAGAGAAGCTGACTTGCCCAGCTGGCATGGCTCAGTGGTTGAGCACCCACCTATGAATCAGGAGGTCATGGCACACTGGGAATCAGGTTGAGGGCCTGATCCCCAGTTTGGGGTGTGCAGGCAACAACCACCAATGACATGCTCTCATCATTGATGTTTCACTCTTTCCCTGTCCCTTCCTCTCTGAAATCAATATTTTTTTAAAAAAAGTCAACTAAATCATGGCATGTGTTAAAATTCTCATAAAATCCTCTAATTTACTTTCATAGTACTGAAGGCATTTAGATATATATACTTGTGGTTATTTGATTAATATCTATCTATAATAAGCTTCATGGCAACAAGGACTCTGGCTTTTTTTTTTTTTTTTTTTTATCTTCACCCAAGGATATTTTTTTATTTTAGAGAGAGAGGAAGGAAGGGAGAAAAAGAGAAGGTAGGGAGAGAGGGAGAAATATTAATGTGAGAGGAACATGGATCATCTACCTCCCGTATGCACTCACACAGGGGATTTAACCTGTAATCTAAGTATGTGCCCTAACTGAGAATAGAACTGCAAACTTTTTGGTGTACCAATGACACTACAACCAACTAAGCCACCCAGCTAGGAGCAAGGTCTGGGTCTTTTTTACATGCTCTTTCTCCCTAAAAATCTAGCATACTTCTTGGTACAGCATTATGTGATGGAATATATACGGCAATTGATAGTATTTGACAATGCCTAATAGTAAGCAACACTATGATGACAAATTCATTGATAGTTGTAATATCTAAGTAAGCCAAGAAATAGTGAGGTCACTCACTAGTGACCTTTCTAGTGCCTACATTATAAAAATCATTATTATGTTCAAGTAAAGGGCGAATAAAGAACCTTGAGGTAAGTAAAAAGAAAAAGCTTAAATTGTATCTTCTATATTTAGAGGAAAGAAGGGCAAGTATTGATGGTTTTTCAAGCAGGTAAAGCAGTTTAAACTGCTTCTTTGTCTTAGAGCTCTGGAAGAAAAACAGAGCCAGGAAACCAATGGAAAGCCAACTATAATCTCTTGGGGAAAAAGGCATATAAATAAACTGGATGTATTATCAATTTGTACACCTGAAACCTATATAATTTTACTAACCAATGTCATAGCTATGAATTCAATTAAAAATTAAAATTAAAAAAAGCCTTTTGCACTAAAATGAATGAATGAATGAATGAACTGGGATGATAAACATCCTATATAATATAATAAAAGGCTAATATGCAAATTGACTGAAAGGCAGAACGACCCAGTTGCTATAATGCATACTGACCACCAGAGTGCAGATGCTCAATGCAGGAGCTGCCCCCTGTGATCAGTGTGCTCCCACAGGGGAGTGCCACTCAGCCAGAAGCCCTGAGCTGGCTGGCAAGAGCAATGGCAGTGGTGGAGCCTCTCTTACCTCTGTGGCAGCACTAAGGATATTGGACTGTAAGAAGGTGCAGGCAATTTTCATGCACCGGGCCTCTAGTATATATATTATTGTGTAAACTGCTGATCCCTTTCATTGTATCTAAACTGCTATCACATAAAAACATAGTATATATATTCCTAACTGGCACCTTGATGAAACCAATGCAAGGAAAAGTTTCTGCCATTGCACTGATCCCATTTCTAAGAAAATCCAAAAATTAGATTCAATTCTAGAATGGTCTTATAACTCCAAAAAAATCTAATGAAATGTCAACAGAAATGTCACTGGTATGTCATTCAGATTACTTCTGGCAACCAGAATAGACTAAGAATCTCAATCTCAGGGAAAACAAGGCGGAGGTGGAAGGTATGATAGAGAAACTGTGATTCAGGATAAAGGTCAAAAAACATTTTCTGTAAATAGCCAAGCAAAATATGTATGGCTTAAAGCAATCTATTCTCTATCACAACTTGTAGCACAAGAGAAATCATAAACATCTATAAAGGAATGAATGTGGCTCTTTTTAAATTTACACTTTATTTTTTTGTTCAATTCCACAGAACATATTGACATTATAATACTACGGGCCAAGGATGGACATGGTAATTATGCCCTCTAATTGTTCTTTGAATTCAAACATATTGCCTGACTATCTAAATGTATCACAGAACATTTTTTATATGTCTCATAAAAGAGAATATTTTGATATAGAAAAATGTTATATACTTTTAAAAAATAAGAAAATTATATACTTACTGTAACACTGGTAACTCTGAAGTAATCATTGCTGGAGAGATCTTTCCACAATGGAGCAAAAGAATCAAGTGCTGTACAACTCAAAACTTTAAAAATAACCTCAAAGGCAATCCTGTTAATAAAAAACAAATATTTTTCCAGTTTTATTGAAAGATAATTGACAAAACTGTTAAGATGTTTAAAATGTATAATGTACAAAGTTGTACATACAATGTGATTACTTGATATACACGTATATTGTGAAGGGCTTCTCCACACGTTAACACGTCCATCACCTCATATATTTACCTTTATTTTGTGTGAGATCACTTAAGTTCTACTCTTTTGGCAAATTTCAATTATATGATACAATGTTATCAACTATGGAGGGATGAGGACAATTATGTGACACCATAATCAATAAAGAAATTTAAATTTTTTATCAACTATAGACACCATATTATATATTAGATCATCAGATCTTATTTACCTTTAAGTAAAAGTTTGCATATTTGCACCAACCTCTCCCTATTTCCCCCAGCTCACTAGCAATCATTTTTCACTCTGTTTCTAAGAGTTCAACTGCCCTCTTTCTGCCAGGGATTTCACATGTATGATGATACCATGTTGTATTTGTCTTTCTTTCTGTGGCTTATTTCACTTAGCATAATGTCCTCCAGCATCATCCATGTTGTCAAATGACAGAATTTCCTTTATTTAAAAACACAAATATTTTTCTGTTTTTCTATCCATGTACAGAAATGCAGGCGCACGCACATTTTTTTTACTCATTCATCAATAGACAGACACTTAGATTATTTTCATACTTTAGCAATTTGTGAATAATGCTGCTATGAATATGGGAGTACAAATATCTCTTTGGGATAATGATTTTGTTTCCTTTGAAATTATACCAGAAATGGGATTTCCAAATCATATGGTATTTTTACTTTTCATTAATTGAGAAACCTCAATACTGTTTTTTCCAGTTTACATTCCTACCAACAATGTACAAGAGTTCCTTTTCTCCACGTCTTCAGAGCATTTTTCTCCTGTCTTTTTTTGATAATGGATATCTTAACAAGTGTAAAGTGATAGTATTTTTTACTTGCATTCCCTGATGATTAATGATGTTGGAGTTTTTCATGTACCTGTTGGTTATTTGCATGTTTTCTTTAAAAAATGCCTATTTAGGCCATTTGAAAAGAAAATTATTATGAAATTAATATCTCAATTATACAGACTACAATCAATATCACCAGCAATCATATTTACCCAAATGCATTGAAAACTTATGCCCATACCAACGTTTGCATGAAGCTGTTTGTAGCAGCTTTACTCAAAATTGCTTTACTCAAAATCATGGAAGCAACCAAGATGTTCTTTAGGAGTTAAATGAATAAATAAACTGTGATATAAGCAGAAAATGAAGTATTATTTGGCACTAAAAAGAAATGAGGTATCAGGTCATGAAAAGACCTGGAGGAAGTGCAAATGCTTATTACTAAGGAAAAGAAGCCAATCGGAAACTGCTAAATACCATGTAATTCCAACTATATGGCATTCTGAAAATGGCAAAACTATGAGATAGCAAAAGGATACAGGGTTGTCAGAAGTTCCAGGAGAGGGATGAATAGGTAAGCACAGAGGATTTTTAGGGCAGAGAAACTCTCCTATGTAATAAAAGGCTAATATGCAAAACGACCAAACAACAGAATGATTGGTTGCTATAATGTGTACTGACCACTAGAAGGCAGATGCTCAATGCAGGACCTGCCCCCTGATGGTCAATGATCTCCCACGGGGGGGGGGGGGGGGGGGGGGGGGGGGGGCAATGCTCAGTCAGAAGCCAGGCTCACAGCTGCCTCTGCAGCAGTCAGACATCCCCTGAGGGCTCCCAGACTGTGAAAGGGCGTAGGCCAGGCTGAGGGACCCCCAACCCCGAGTGCATCAATCTCATGCATCAAGCCTCTAGTTCTGTACAATACTACACAGCTATATGTCATGTATTCGTTAAAACCCATAGAATGTACAACATCAGGAGTAAACCCTAAGCACAACTAGTGTGGCTCAGTGGTTGAGCATCAACCTATGAACCAGGACTTCACAGTTCAATTCCTTTCAAGGCACATGCTCAGGTTGCAGGCTTGATTCACATGGGGAATGTGTAGTAGGCAGCTGATCAATGATTCCCTCTCATCATTGATGTTTCTATCTCTCTCTCCCTCTCCCTCTCCTTTCCTCTCTGAAATCAATAAAAAATGTATTTTTTTTAAAAAGGGTAAACTTAAGTGTAAACTACGGACATTGGGCAATAATAGGTGTCAGTATAAGTTCATTGATTGCAACATATGTACCACCCTGGTGCAGGATATTGATAGTGAGGGAGGCTGTATGTATGTGGGAACACAGGATATCAGGGGTAAGCAAGGGTTCTTTCTACCTTCTGCTCAGTTCTGCTGTGAACTTAAAACTTCTTTAAAAAAAAAAAAACAAAGTCTAGCCTGGCCGGCATTGCTCAGTGGTTGAGCACTGACCTAAGAACAAGGAGATCATGGAACGATTCTCAGTAAGGGTACATGCCTGGGTTGCAGGCTCCATCTCCAGTGGAGGTAGTGCAGGAGGCAGCCAATTAATGAGTCTTTCTCATCATTGATGTTTTTATCTCTCCCTTCCTCTCTGAAATCAATAAAAATATATATTAAAAAAATAAAATCTATTTTTAAAAAGTAGCAAGGGAAGTAGGACAAAACAGAGTATCTAAGACAGGCCAAGATATAATATCAAATGGATTAACATAGGTTCAACTGGAATTCCAGAAAAAGAATGTACAGGACAGAAAAAATATTTGATGAGATAGAGGAGAATTTGTCAAAAAATAATTTAAGATATTAAAACACAGATGAATATATTTATAAGCAGAATAAAACACTTTAAATATTGCTAAAAACCAAAGTTAGAGGAAATTTAAAAAGCTAAAGAAAATTCTTCACATATCAAAAAACAAAGATAAAATTACATCAGACTTTTCATTGGAAACTATGTAAGCTGAAAAACATGGAATAGTATCCTTACAGTGCTGAGAAGAAACAAAGTGGCCCCTAAATTATATACCCAATGATAATAATCTTCAAAAATGAAATAAAAGAGTGATGTCATGAAAAATGGAGAAGTAGGCAGCTCCAAGAAAAGCCCCTCAGTGAAGCAACTCTTAGGCTTGGGGGGGGGGGGGGGGGGGGGGGGAACAAAACAGCAGTTATGGACAAAAATCAACTTTATAGAAACTAATAAAAATATAAATAAAGGAGTCCTTAACCAACAAACAAAAAAAGAACCTATTAGCCCTGGCCAGTGTGGCTCAGTTGGTGGGGCATCATTCCATGCACTGAAAGGTTGCCTGTTTGACTCCTGGTCAGGGCACATGCCCAGATTTCAGGCTCAATCTCTAGTTGGAGTACAAGTGGGAGGCAACTGACCAACATTTACTTTTCCACATAAGTGTTTCTTGCTTGCTCTCTCTCCTTTATTCTCTAAAAATCAATAAAAACATAAATTTTTAAAAGAATCTAAGCAATCTTCTAAGAAAGTACTGTAGGCATTTTGCTCCTGTCTACCACCCACCTGCCCCCAGCTCAATGGTGAATAGAAACAGCAGTCCAAGTTCCTGGTACATAAAAGAAAAACATGGATCACAGTATTCTAAAAAATTGAAACTGTGTGTTTTGAAGGGCTTCCCAGCTGTCATCTTTCAAAAAAAATGTAATACAGACACTACAAGAAGGTGCCTGAAGCAAGAGACAGTGGATGGGACAAACGACAGAACAAATCAAAAGCCTTGAAATAAGGAGGCTGAGAAGGAAGATACTGTGAGGAATAAGAGCTTTAAAGGGCTATCTGTATACCAGGAAATCTAGAGTGCTACATGCAAACCCACAGATGGATGCATACTTAGAAAAACATTGAGGGAAGCATAAGCTTTCAACGCTAGTTGATCTTTGGGCTGTGTGAAATCACAAGGTAAAGCTAAGACTATTTAGCTAACCTTTGAAGGAATACCTCAGCTAAAACTAACAGTTTATAAACACCAAGAGATAACATTTTTTCCTTTTGACTACCACTGACTTGGGAGATCATTGTTTATAATGGAGATAAAATTTCATTTTCTCTACATGACAAGGATTAGTCTTTGCAAAAATAGTTTGGAAACATCACTAAACAGATGACTACAGTCCTTAAGAGGTAACAACAGTAAACCCTGGAAAGAGGAAAGAATCAGTGTTTAGTTACCACATTATAATATTCAAAGTGTTCAATTTTTTAACAATAACAGAAAACTGTGAGCATATGAAGAAACAGAAAAGTATGACACATACAGGGGGGGGGGGGGGGGAGGGGGAGAAGTTAACAGAAATCATCTCTTAGTAAGCCCAAGATATAAAACTTAGGTTTGCAGAAACAATGGTGAGACTTCTGGAAGAATAGAGAAAGGTGTAGAAAGAATATGTGTCTATAACAATGACAGAAAATTGCCCAATTTTCATGAACTATAGATATCTACACAGTCAAGGTAAACAAATTCCATGTAGGACAAACTCAAAAGAGATTAACACATATACAAATGATAATCAAACTCTAAAAGCCCAAAACAATGGTAGAATCTTAAAAAAAAAAAAAAAAAATGACTTGTGAAATTCAAGTAATTCCCACTTAAGACTATAGCGAATTTCTCATCAAAACTATGGAAGCCAGAAGGTAATAGGATGACATATCTAAAGTGTTGAAAGAAAACTGTCAAGCAAGAATTCTATATCCCACAAACTATCACTCAAAAATGGCAGAGAAATTAAGATACTCCCTACCCTACAATAAAATGCTAAAGACAGTCTTTCACCCAGAAATGAAAGGACAAGAGAAAGTAACTTGAAAGACATCTGAAGAATAAAGAACACTGATAAAAATAACTACACAAGAAATATAAAAGTCAATATTATTGTATTTTTAGTTTACTATATGTTTGTGGTATTGCATTCTTGTTTCCTATATGATTTAA